ATATATATATATATATATATATATATTTTATAGGTTAAATACGTTTTTGTTTCCTAAAATATCGCAATTAGGTGATTTTAGTTCTTCAAATTTTAATTAAATAATTTTAATCTCTCAAATATTGTTGTTATATAATTTTGGTTCTCGAAATTTAATCGAACAATTTTAGTTATTTGAATATTATAATTGTGTAATATTAGTCATTCAAGTATTATATTTATATATATTTTTTTACCTATTTAAGTTACATATGTTATTAATTTTAATAATAATAAATATATATCATCTAATACATTAATAAAAATTATAGTATATATAACTTAAATAGGTTAAAAATTGTATAATTGTGATAATTAAAGGACAAAGATCATAGATTGTAATACTTAAAGAACTAAAATTGTTTAATTAAAATTTGAAGGACCAAAATCTCGTAATTATGATATTTGAGAAATTATAATTGCTATATTAACACCTCGAGGACCAAATTAAATCATACTTGAAAGATAAAAATGAATTACAATAATATAAGATATAAATGAATAATTCAAATTCTATACCTTTTTTTATATAAACTATAAAGTATTAGTTTTATTATTTTCATATTAATAATAACAAATAAATATGGTCACAAAAAAGACTGAAGGCGAAAGAAAGAACTATAACAAAACAAGATACTCTTTGATGATTGAACGAGATAATAAAAATTATTTTATTTAATTTGCAAGTTTCCTTTTTTATATACATGTATAAGAAGTAGAAGTGAGTGATAAAAAATAATTATATTTACATCATGTACTATGCTAATTTTTAATATTCAAATAATATAAACGATTGCACAAATAACCATTTGTCCATAATAAGTTATATTGATTGCGAATATTTTTATGCACACAACACAATTTTTTGGTAGACTTCTTGCTGATTCTACACTATTATGATTTTTTTTTGTACACACTATTTTGATATTTTAATCTCAATCTAAAGAAAAACTTGTGAAATTTAATTTAATTTTTTAAAATAATATTTAATTTATACTTAATGTAATAAAAATTAATTTATGAGGCCTATATTTAATAATTTTTTAAACAAGATGAAGACTTGAGAACATGTCATGTCTCCAATCTGAAAGGCTTCAATAATATTGCAATAAGTAAACCCTTTAAATCACATGAATCTCTTCAATTTTCAGATGAACAAAATTTTCCTTAAAAGCATATATACATTTTGTTTACTCGCCACCTTTTGATTGTAGTTTCTTACATAAACATAATAAAATACTTGAATCAGCTCATATTAAAAAAAGAAAAATCCTTCTCATTTCAGTTTATCAAAATTCATCCTAAAATCTATCTGCTCATAAAACATTAAGCATTGATAAAAGATGAAGACACTCTTTACTGAGAGAGATGTATACTAATTAGGGGATGATTACACTGTACAACAATTTAAGATAAGATGGGATTCTTACCACTTAAATAGAGATAAGATACAATATAATTACTAGCTAGAATAATGACCCTATATAACTAATTACCTTGCATATAGATTCTTTTTATTATAGTTAATTACCTTGCATATTTATAGTTGTGTGTGCCCGCACCAAAATGCACACATGAAAAATTAAAGTACAGTACTAATCCAGCTCATTGTTGTCCATTATTTCTCCACTATGAGCAATTAAAATCAGTGCTTTAGCTATAGATAAGATAAGATAGTGGCAAATTCCTTACTAGAAAAAAAAAAAAAAACTATGAAAATTATTTGTGTTTGTAATGGATATTTTTACGATTTTAAAATAAAACATTTAGATTTTTTGAATCATACATTTTTTTTAATAAAAGATTATGTTAAGAATGTATTTAATAGCACCAAACAAATTAAATAAATAATAATCTTATTAAATATAATCAAAAGTATATGAATCTTTTTTTTGAATGATATTATTATATTTAAATAAAAATAAATTGAACAAGAAAATTTAGATTGATAAATAAATGAGCAATAAGACGTAACATTATGGTATGAAGTATTATTAAATGAGTAGAAAAATACTATACGTTGAAGGATGACGTGTTTTGGAGAAGAAAATGTACATTGGCTCCCAAACAAAGCGGAACAGAGTTTACCATTCTCGCCATTTTTATTGGTGGGTCCCAAGCAAATCCGTACAAAGTCAAGTATATATATATATATATATATATATGTATCTGTATGATAGGAACTAGGAAGGAAAAATTAGGGTGTCATTCCCATAGGATAATTCATGAATTATCAATTAATTTCGTTTGATCTTTTTTCTGATATTAAATTTATATATTTAAAATTTCATCAATTGCAACCGAGAACCAACAAACATTTAACAATGGGATCAAAGTTTTCACGTATATAAACCCAATTCCACATTCAAATAAAATATAACATCTTTTATATGATACACTACGGCCTTGTTAAAAATATAATTAAACATTAGATGTAAATTTAATTAGCCCTTTTAACTCATAAAAAAATTAGCCCTTTTAATTAAACTTAATTTTGTTGATTATTTTAGCTTAAATATGTTTAATTAATTTAATAATTTTAAATATATATAT